CATGGGCGTACGCATCTATTGTTGACCCCAAGTACTTTCCCAAGGGTGCCAACCTTGAGCAGGTGGATGTGATGCAGCTTGGCAAGAGCGTCAATTTCTGCGTTGCTCCTTTTGACGGTGCTCCACTATGCAAGATTGGCGACGATCGCTCGGTATTTGCTACGAAAGATCAAGCAAACCAGCTATCTCACAACCTATGCAGAGTCCTTCGGCGCAAAATCGGCAATTGCCGAGGAAGTGTTTTCAGATGCGATGAAGGTGGATGGGTCGACATCGACGCAGTCATTGACGACCGAAATAACGACATATTCCCACCTTCAACTTCGAGAGCAAAACGATACATGGGCATCATGGAAGTGATCAAGTGGCAGGAGTCCGGACAAAAGAAATCGAGGTTTCAGGTCCTGGCAGCAAGGTTTCCAAGCGTCATGAACCCGAATGACATGAAGGCGGCCAGGGAGGAGATGAACTATGCTGGCCTGGATCGGGATGACATCGACAGGATGTTCAACAGATGCGATGGATGGTACAGGCCTTGGTGCATCCGAGTCACAACTGGTCACAGTGATTTTGGATTCATGAGCTCATCCGCACTGGCAAATAGGTATTCCGCAAGAATGGGTGATTCTCTCGGAGGAGCATTCCATGTGACGTATGTGGAGAACCTGCCGAGCATCGTACGCTGTGGGCTAGTCCCCGGCGGGATCGATGGCGGAAACAGGCTAGCATTGCACTTCGGAGCATTTGCTCCATGGGATGAGATGAACGTAGCAACGAAGGTGACGCTACGAAACGTAAGGTCGGGGGATCCGATTGCGATCATCTACATTCCCAGTGCAACCCTCGCGCGGTATGGAGCTGGAGTCGCGGCAAATGGGACATTCATGGTCTTTGACGTGATCCCGTTCTATGAGGTCAAGTCCATTTGGATTGGCAAAAGCAACGGAGGGAAACGCCTGGAGTACGAGGACGTCAAGCGAGCGTACTCAAAATGTGTGGAAAACGAGATCTGTCCGGGTTTCGTCAACTCCTCCCAGGAATCGGCTGCGATGTTCCTTCAGAACGTCGCGAAGATCAACGAGAGGATGCCTGAGACCGAGGCAGGTGCCGACAATCTGCACTACATCAAAGACATGGTTGATCGTGCATGCAAACTGTTTCGGGAAAACAAGTTGGAGGAGTTTGATGCGCAGACCAACAAGGTCAGGGACGAGATCAGCAAAGTCGTCATCCTGAATGACGAAACATGGGAAGGACTAAGGTGCCGGATATGTCCGTCATGTGCGTCCGCGATTCCCACATGCTTCTGTGTGTGCCTGGAATGTGGAGCGCAATTGATCTCTACCGGGAGATTCTACATCCACATCAGTTCCGACGACGACGAGGGCAACCAAAGGCCCAATGTCTCGGGTGATGCCAGGCGCGCGCAAGACGAAGCCAATCATGATGCGGCAGCACAGGAAGAGGATGATGAAGCGGAGGACGTTCCTGAAGAAGACGACATGGATACGCAAGGATACACGTCCGGCTACATGTCTGAGGAGGAAGATGGCGGTTGGCAATACCGCGACACTGACTTGACATCGCGGGATATCATAAATACCCAGCGGATGGCGATTTGCCTTGATGAGCCGCGCGAAGCTCAATACATGGCGGGATTCATCGCACTGCAGATGTCAAAGATGTGGGGGATGTTCGAAGGTGGTGAAAAGAGAACGGTCGATGCCGCGCTCGAAGGGAGGCTAGGCTGCCCATACCACAACGACTTCGCGAAGTACCCCAACATTACGGAGATTGATCAGGAAGGGATCCTTTTGCCATCGACGGTACTGAAGATTTCTCAATCTCAGAATGTTCGGACAAGGACCTTCCGGTCGGCTGAGGAGCGTGATGAATACATTCGTCTGATGGTATGCAAGTGCGAGGGGCTATACATATTCTACAAGCTGTGGATTGCAGCAAGAATCCTCGACGTCACCAAGGACGAAATGAAGCTCCTGGTCAAGGATCGCGTGCACCCGGTGGGTGATATTATTTACAGATGCTTCTCCCTGGCTTTCAACTGTAAATATATATCGTTCGTAAGGGATGGCTTGAACCTTGGCAAATATGGTTATTCGGTCAATGTGAGCGCCATTATTGCAGCCACTGGCCCGAATAAATGCGACACACCTCTGCTGGATTGGTGCCTCCGAATGGGGCATTGGATACCAGAAGATCATCACAAGAAGTGTGTCCGGGCGCGAGAAGCCCAAAAGAATTTGGACGAAGAGTTCCGTCGACGTACCCACAGACTGTCCATTGGAGACAGGTATGCGTAATGCAGATGTTGATTGCGGCACAATGTGGGCTAGTCCCCATCTGTTGCTTGCGTCTCATCAACGTCATTGCGATGGAACGACTCTACATCATGATATGATTTCATACGTCCAAGATGAATGGATATGTATACATTTACATATTCCGACGACTATGACATTCCGGATATTCATGGATGGAACTATTACATCATGGATGATTTCTTTCCATTATATATATTATTCATGGTACCTGGAATGGCTATGTTTTGCATGTATTGCTCGCCAAATCTTCTTTGCCAATGGTATTCAGATGGCACATGCTATGGATTTCTATGGCCAACCCATTTCTGTGGATGACGGCTGCGCGATGCGCAAATGCGGCAGCCGGGATTTCAAGTGGTTGCGTATTGGCTAGAGGCAAAATGTCTCTTGCATCTGAGTATAGGAATGTGCTACGATTTGCGGATGCATGTTTCTGCCTTAATTGGACCTGGCAAGTTTCACAATGAATGGACGGTGTAGCAATAGTGAGTGAAAGAGTGTTCGACACAGTTTCGTAGCTGAAGCCGTGGCCAGTGGAACGTTTTGTGGTGTTTGGACCGCATGATGAACAATGCGACCCAAATGGGGGATGTTAAAACCCTCCTGGCCCCGTGCCTAAATTGGGAAGCAGTTCTGAGGTCCGTGTTTGTGTTGCTTACAAGGTTCCATTGATTGCCATTTGGCTCAAGTCACAAGTGAGGTTCAAGATCTTATGTGAAGCTGCGTTCATACGTGATCGGCAATTGAGAGCGGAAAACACATCGCTTGCGCTGCATTTGTCAGGACCACTGTTGTAACTATTATTCCTTCTCCCTTACAACATTTACACGGGTTCGGCTATAACGGTTTGACCGTATACACCTTTCTACGTGGTTGGTATTACAGCTGGAGGGTTCGGTGGACAGCGTCCCACGGGACGTCACCTTGCCGTCTCTTGACAGTTTAGGCAGTCCGAACCGCCAAGGACAACTGCTACAAGTCTCTGGCGGCATGGGGCAGTGTGCGCACCATCAGCTTCGGAAGAGCAAATGTGTCGGGCACATCCCGCCAGCGGGATCTTTCAGCCAGCTCGCGTGGAACCACACGCTCACATGACTCAGCTGCGCGCAGCTCCGCCCACACCACCACAAGATGCTGACACAGACTGGCGGCAGCGTTGAGAGGTCCAGTGTTGAGTGATGAGTCTGAGATGCTAATCAGTTGGGTTTTTCACGGTTGCTGGAGCCTTGGCAAGGCAAGTTGAATTGTGGCGGTTGCCATGAGATTGGGGCTGTGACTTGTGGTGTCGAGCCACAGTCAAAGGCAAATGCAACCCATGTAAGCCACGACTCGGGACTGTACAGTTTGCCCGAGCAGTTTGCAGTGGTTGGGGCACTTGGTGAATCAGAGTGTCGTACGTTCGTGGCGACGTGTCTGGATGTGTGCTGCTGACTGTGGCAGCCTTTGCCGTGGCGACAGCTGACGGCAATGTTTTGCTGCGGTGCTGAGCCACAGCTGCGAGTCGGAAAATGCGTGCCGATTCAGGTGTTCCAAGATTTCAGACAGATGCCTTGTTCATTGCTGCGTTGTTGCGATGCTGTATACCCGGGTGCCGGCGATCGCTTAGCGTTGAGCTTTGTCCCAGGTATCTCTTGGCGGACGAACCTGACTTATGGCCATGGGTCGAGGCCTAGACTGCCAGACAGCCAGATTGAATCTCCATTCAACAGCGACTCACAATGCATTCTTTCAAGCATCTTTGTTGACGTGTTCCTTTCCACAAGCCCATCACAGGCGCAGCAGTTGCGTGCAGGCAGGCGTCCAAGCGCGGAGAGCGAGAGAGAAGGGGCAACTACGTGTTTTCCGTGCGTTGGCTGACTTGCGTGCAAGCCATGAATGAGAGGGATCTTGCGGATTTTGCCTCTGGAGCATTTGGTATCTCAGACTAGCTCTAGCTTCGCGATCTTTGAGTGATGGCTGGCAAGAAGAGCAAGAGCAAGAAGAGCGTTGCAAAGGTCAACGGGACGGCTTCACGTCCTGCGGCCCCTGCGGCCCCTGTGGCCCCTGCGGCGGAGACGCCTGCGGCGTCTGAAGCGGCTGAGCCCCGAGAGATCTCAGCTCTGGTGGAGCCAGCTGAGCGGTCTGAGCCGGCCAAGCCCGTGACGACCGAGCCCCCAGCTGAGCCCGTGGAGCGGCCTGAGGCGCCCAAAGCGCCCAAAGCGCCTTTGCCCGACCCAGCTTGGCACAAGAGCTCAGGCACTGCGAGGCCTTTCAGGCAGCAGTTGAAGGACAAGAAGTTCCGTGGCTTCATTTGCGGAGTTGATGCTGCCAGCTTGGATGACTGTGCAGCTGAGCTCATCCCGGATGAGGTCAAGGAGCCCAAGAAACAGGCCTTAAGCAAGTGGCTGGGCTGCCAGGAGAATGACTTGAACTTCCGGAAGTTGGATGGCCTGGAGCTCTACTTCAGCGCAAGTGCCAGGCGCAATGCAGCTGTCAACAAGCTGGCGAGTCAGATTGCTTGGGCTTGTGGGGTGGAGATCATCGCGGTGGGGAAGCTGGCGATTGTCACGGAGAGCAGCGCCAGACCCGGGGTTTTGGGCAAGATGAGGGATGCGCGAGTCTTTGAAAGCCTCGAGCAAAAGATGAAGAAGATGGACTCAGAAGCCTTCGAGAGCTGGTATGCCGAAAAAAAAAAGCAGGATCGATGCGCAGAACGAGTTCGGCAGCCTCTTCTACGTGCCCATTCCTCGTGACCCCGGGCCCGAGCAGCTACAATCAGAGGAGATCTCAGCTGCATCCCGCGGATATGCAGAGCTCATCCAGCACTGCAAGACGCTCTTTGAGGAGCGAGGTGCCAAGAAGGAGGTCTTCGAAGAGCCTGAGAGCGACGAGGAGGAGAATGCTGATGCCTTGCGCCAGGACACTGGCGTCGAGAACGAGAAGCATGACCACCAAAATCCACTTCTGAATGCCTTCAAGCGTCATGGCTTCAATCTGGTGTACTTCTCGGAAGCCATCAACGTGATCCTGGTTGACCAAGCCTGCCAGACACACGCCCAGAAGAGAAGGGGCGTCAACGTGGCAGTGGCGCGGTACATCTACCACAAGTTCGGGGCACCCCACTTGGAGAGGATAGTCTCCAACCTTCGGGGCGACGTCCTCGTGTTCAAGGCAAGCCAGTGGGATTCTGAGGAGGCCTGCAGGGCAGCTCCGCCTCTTGTCTGGATCAAGACATTAATTATGATACACGATCGGAGCCCAAAAGTCACACTCCTGACTCAGCGAGCCGCGAGTCGCTTTCATGCGTGTTTTCTTCATCCTTTTCGGGAAGAACAGAGCCGACGTGTCCTGTGTAAAAGCTCTAATCTTGCGACATCTTGTGATAGTGGGGTAACACGGCGCACGACGTCGCTCAGGTTTCCTCAAGATGACAGCTTGCGCTTTCTGCAGAACATGGAGAAGAAGCTTCCTGAGAAGCAGGAGGAAGACCTGCAGTTCTTGGTTGACAGGGCCGACTTGGCCTCAGTGATGGCCAGCTGTGTCATCTTCTTGAAGCAAAAGAACAAGCGCTCCAGCAAAGACTTCGAAGGGCACATCGCGGATCTCGAGAGAAAGGCGCAGCCCGAAGACTGGAGGAACAGGCTTCGGGACTCTGATGGGCCGGACTATTTGATCAACTATGTGAAGTACAAGTTCGCCTTGTCCTGGAGACACAAGCAGGGCATTGCCATCAAGGCGCTGCCAAGTGACAGTTCCAAATTGCGCTTGACCTTTGCTACGGGGCTGGTGAACCTCGACCTGAACCCCATCTTCGGCATCTTTGAGAGGAAGAAGGATGAAGGCGATGGCGAGGACTGCTACGACTGCCTGAGCCGAACCGGAGGTACGTCTTCCAACGCTGGGAGACCATCCCGCATGAGCGCGACCCACCTGAAGCCTTGGATTTGCTGAGCAGCAGCCTGCTGAACAAGGCCTGTGAAACTGCTGGCTTGAAGCCGGAGGAGTTGAGATTGTTTGAGCCTTCCTGGGAGAGAGTGAACGTGGCAAACCTGGAGCACATCCTCAGGAAGACGTCTCGCTTCGTCCAGGACAACGAAATCCAGGAGCGCACATGCGAGGAAGGCTGGGCCGTGAATGATCCAGATGTCCTCCAGGAGCAATTTAGGCATGCCCTGCGCCAGACAATCATGCTGACCAAGTATGATCGTTCAACCCCGTTGCTCACCTGCTTCCAGCTGGGGCACTACAAATGGCTGCTTCCGCTGCTGAACCCTGGCCACAAGCATTTCAGACAGGCGCCAAAGATGCCTTGACATATGAGGTGAAGACAGTGCTCGACCTTGACATGGCCCTGAAGCTCGCGAGGACCAGCTGCATGCTGAACCAAAGGTGGACAGCGAGTCATCGTCAGCTGATGGATTTAGGCCACGTGGAGGGCTTGTTGAAGAACATCACCGAGAAGTCTGATACTGTGACGCTTCAGCGCTTGAGGGACATCGTGAAGGCAGTCCGAACCGCCAAGGACAACTGCTACAAGTCTCTGGCGGCATGGGGCAGTGTGCGCACCATCAGCTTCGAAAGAGCAAATGTGTCGGGCGCATCCCGCCAGCGGGATCTTTCAGCCAGCTCGCGTGGAACCACACGCTCACATGACTCAGCTGCGCGCAGCTCCGCCCACAGCACCGCAGATGCTGACACAGACTGGCGGCAGCGTTGAGAGGTCCAGTGTTGAGTGGCAATGAGTCTGAGATGCCAATCAGTTGGGTTTTTCACGGTTGCTGGAGCCTTGGCAAGGCAAGTTGAATTGTGGCGGTTGCCATGAGATTGGGGCTGTGACTTGTGGTGTCGAGCCACAGTCAAAGGCAAATGCAACCCATGTAAGCCACGACTCGGGACTGTACAGTTTGCCGAGCAGTTTGCAGTGGTTGGGGCACTTGGTGAATCAGAGTGTCGTACGAGTTTCATGGCGACGTGTCTGGATGTGTGCTGCTGACTGTGGCAGCCTTTGCCGTGGCGACAGCTGACGGCAATGTTTTGCTGCGGTGCTGAGCCACAGCTGCGAGTCGGAAAACGCGTGCCGATTCAGGTGCTCCAAGATTTCAGACAGATGCCTTGTTCATTGCTGCGTTGTTGCGATGCTGTATACCCGGGTGCCGGCGATCGCTTAGCGTTGAGCTTTGTCCCAGGTATCTCTTGGCGGACGAACCTGACTTATGGCCATGGGTCGAGGCCTAGACTGCCAGACAGCCAGATTGAATCTCCATTCAACAGCGACTCACAATGCATTCTTTCAAGCATCTTTGTTGACGTGTTCCTTTCCACAAGCCCATCACAGGCGCAGCAGTTGCGTGCAGGCAGGCGTCCAAGCGCGGAGAGCGAGAGAGAAGGGGCAACTACGTGTTTTCCGTGCGTTGGCTGACTTGCGTGCAAGCCATGAATGAGAGGGATCTTGCGGATTTTGCCTCTGGAGCATTTGGTATCTCAGACTAGCTCTAGCTTCGCGATCTTTGAGTGATGGCTGGCAAGAAGAGCAAGAGCAAGAAGAGCGTTGCAAAGGTCAACGGGACGGCTTCACGTCCTGCGGCCCCTGCGGCCCCTGTGGCGTCTGAAGCGGCTGAGCCCCGAGAGATCTCAGCTCCGGCGGAGCCAGCTGAGTGGTCTGAGCCGGCCAAGCCCGTGACGACCGAGCCCCCAGCTGAGCCCGTGGAGCGGCCTGAGGCGCCCAAATCGCCCAAAGCGCTTTTGCCCGACCCAGCTTGGCACAAGAGCTCAGGGACTGCGAGGCCTTTCAGGCAGCAGTTGAAGGACAAGAAGTTCCGTGGCTTCATTTGCGGAGTTGATGCTGCCAGTTTGGATGACTGTGCAGCTGAGCTCATCCCGGATGAGGTCAAGGAGCCCAAGAAACAGGCCTTAAGCAAGTGGCTGGGCTGCCAGGAGAATGACTTGAACTTCCGGAAGTTGGATGGCCTGGAGCTCTACTTCAGCGCAAGTGCCAAGCGCAATGCAGCTGCAAGCTGGCGAGTCAGATTGCTTGGGCTTGTGGGGCGCAGAAGAACTTCATCGCGGTGGGGAAGCTGGCGATTGTCACGGAGAGCAGCGCCAAGCCCGGGGTTTTTTGGCAAGATGAGGGATGCGCGAGTCTTTGAAAGCCTCGAGCAAAAGATGAAGAAGATGGACTCAGAAGCCTTCGAGAGCTGCTATGCCGAAAACAAAAACAGGATCGATGCGCAGAACGAGTTCGGCAGCCTCTTCTACGTGCCCATTCCTCGTGACCCCGGGCCCGAGCTACAACCAGAGGAGATCTCAGCTGCATCCCGCGGATATGCAGAGCTCATCCAGCGCTGCAAGACGCTCTTTGAGGAGCGAGGTGCCAAGAAGGAGGTCTTCGAAGAGCCTGAGAGCGACGAGGAGGAGAATGCTGATGGGAACAATGAGGAAGACGATGCCTTGCGCCAGGACACTGGCGTCGTGAACGAGAAGCAAGACCACCAAAATCCACTTCTGAATGCCTTCAAGCGTCATAGCTTCAATCTGGTGTACTTCTTGGAAGCCATCAACGTGATCCTGGTTGACCAAGCCTGCCAGACAAACGCCCAGAAGAGAAGGGGCGTCAACGTGGCAGTGGCGCGGTACATCTACCACAAGTTCGGGGCACCCCACTTGGAGAAGATAGTCTCCAACCTTCGGGGCGACGTCCTCGTGTTCAAGGCAAGCCAGTGGGGTTCTGAGGAGGCCTGCAGGGCAGCTCCGCCTCTTGTCTGGATCAAGACATTATAATTATGATACACGATCGGAGCCCAAAAGTCACACTCCTGACTCAGCGAGCCGCGAGTCGCTTTCATGCGTGTTTTCTTCATCCTTTTCGGGAAGAACAGAGCCGACGTGTCCTGTGTGAAAGCTCTAATCTTGCGACATCTTGTGATAGTGGGGTAACACGGCGCACGACGTCGCTCAGGTTTCCTCAAGATGACAGCTTGCGCTTTCTGCAGAACATTGAGGCGAAGCTTCCTGAGAAGCAGGAGGAAGACCTGCAGTTCTTGTTTGACAGGGCCGACTTGGCCTCAGTGATGGCCAGCTGTGTCATCTTCTTGAAGCAAAGGAACAAGGCCTCCAGCAAAGACTTCAAAGGGCACATCGCGGATCTCGAGAGAAAGGCGCAGCCCGAACTGGAGGAACAGGCTTCGGGCCTCTGATGGGCCGGACTACTTGGTCAACTATGTGAAGTACAAGTTCGCCTTGTCCTGGAGACACAAGCAGGGCATTGCCATCAAGGCGCTGCCAAATGACAGTTCCAAATTGCGCTTGACCTTTTGCTACGGGGCTGGTGGACCTTGACCTGAACCCCATCTTCGGCATCTTTGAGAGGAAGAAGGATGAAGGCGATGGCGAGGACTGCTACGAACTGCCTGAGCCGAACCAGACATACGTCTTCCAACGCTGGGAGACCATCCCGCATGAGCGCGACCCGCCTGAAGCCTTGGATTTGCTGAGCAGCAGCCTGCTGAACAAGGCCTGTGAAACTGCTGGCTTGAAGCCGGAGGAGTTGAGATTGTTTGAGCCTTCCTGGGAGAGAGTGAACGTGGCAAACCTGGAGCACATCCTCAGGAAGACGTCTCGCTTCGTCCAGGACAACAAAATCCAGGAGCGCACATGCGAGGAAGGCTGGGCCGTGAATGATCCAGGTGTCCTCCAGGAGCAATTTAGGCATGCCCTGCGCCAGACAATCATGCTGACCAAGTATGATCGTTCAACCCCGTTGCTCACCTGCTTCCAGCTGGGGCACTACCAATGGCTGCTTCCGCTGCTGAACCCTGGCCACAAGCATTTCAGACAGGCGCCAACCCTCACGGTGGTCTTGCGACCCTTTCGCCTCAGGGAAGGAGATGCCTTGACATATGAGGTGAAGACAGTGCTCGACCTTGACATGGCCCTGAAGCTCGCGAGGACCAGCTGCATGCTGAACCAAAGGTGGACAGCGAGATGGATTTAGGCCACGTGGAGGGCTTGTTGAAGAACATCACCGAGAAGTCTGATACTGTGACGCTTCAGCGCTTGAGGGACATCGTGAAGGCAGTCCGAACCGCCAAGGACAACTGCTACAAGTCTCTGGCGGCATGGGGCAGTGTGCGCACCATCAGCTTCGAAAGAGCAAATGTGTCGGGCACATCCCGCCAGCGGGATCTTTCAGCCAGCTCGCGTGGAACCACACGCTCACATGACTCAGCTGCGCGCAGCTGAGCCCACAGCACCGCAGATGCTGACACAGACTGGCGGCAGCGTTGAGACGTCCAGTGTTGAGTGGCAATGAGTCTGAGATGCCAATCAGTTGGGTTTTTCACGGTTGCTGGAGCCTTGGCAAGGCAAGTTGAATTGTGGCGGTTGCCATGAGATTGGGGCTGTGACTTGTGGTGTCGAGCCACAGTCAAAGGCAAACGCAACCCATGTAAGCCACGACTCGGGACTGTACAGTTTGCCCGAGCAGTTTGCAGTGGACAGCTGCGAGTCGGAAAACGCGTGCCGATTCAGGTGCTCCAAGATTTCAGACAGATGCCTTGTTCATTGCTGCGTTGTTGCGATGCTGTATACCCGGGTGCCGGCGATCGCTTAGCGTTGAGCTTTGTCCCAGGTATCTCTTGGCGGACGAACCTGACTTATGGCCATGGGTCGAGGCCTAGACTGCCAGACAGCCAGATTGAATCTCCATTCAACAGCGACTCACAATGCATTCTTTCAAGCATCTTTGTTGACGTGTTCCTTTCCACAAGCCCATCACAGGCGCAGCAGTTGCGTGCAGGCAGGCGTCCAAGCGCGGAGAGCGAGAGAGAAGGGGCAACTACGTGTTTTCCGTGTGTTGGCTGACTTGCGTGCAAGCCATGAATGAGAGGGATCTTGCGGATTTTGCCTCTGGAGCATTTGGTATCTCAGACTAGCTCTAGCTTCGCGATCTTTGAGTGATGGCTGGCAAGAAGAGCAAGAGCAAGAAGAGCGTTGCAAAGGTCAACGGGACGGCTTCACGTCCTGCGGCCCCTGCGGCCCCTGTGGCCCCTGCGGCGGAGACGCCTGCGGCGTCTGAAGCGGCTGAGCCCTCAGCTCTGGTGGAGCCAGCTGAGCGGTCTGAGCCGGCCAAGCCCGTGACGACCGAGCCCCCAGCCTGAGGCGCCCAAAGCGCCCAAAGCGCCTTTGCCCGACCCAGCTTGGCACAAGAGCTCAGGCACTGCGAGGCCTTTCAGGCAGCAGTTGAAGGACAAGAAGTTCCGTGGCTTCATTTGCGGAGTTGATGCTGCCAGCTTGGATGACTGTGCAGCTGAGCTCATCCCGGATGAGGTCAAGGAGCCCAAGAAACAGGCCTTAAGCAAGTGGCTGGGCTGCCAGGAGAGTGACTTGAACTTCCGGAAGTTGGATGGCCTGGAGCTCTACTTCAGCGCAAGTGCCAGGCGCAATGCAGCTGTCAACAAGCTGGCGAGTCAGATTGCTTGGGCTTGTGGGGTGGAGATCATCGCGGTGGGGAAGCTGGCGATTGTCACGGAGAGCAGCGCCAGACCCGGGGTTTTGGGCAAGATGAGGGATGCGCGAGTCTTTGAAAGCCTCGAGCAAAAGATGAAGAAGATGGACTCAGAAGCCTTCGAGAGCTGGTATGCCGAAAAAAAAGCAGGATCGATGCGCAGAACGAGTTCGGCAGCCTCTTCTACGTGCCCATTCCTCGTGACCCCGGGCCCGAGCAGCTACAATCAGAGGAGATCTCAGCTGCATCCCGCGGATATGCAGAGCTCATCCAGCACTGCAAGACGCTCTTTGAGGAGCGAGGTGCCAAGAAGGAGGTCTTCGAAGAGCCTGAGAGCGACGAGGAGGAGAATGCTGATGCCTTGCGCCAGGACACTGGCGTCGAGAACGAGAAGCATGACCGCCAAAATCCACTTCTGAATGCCTTCAAGCGTCATGGCTTCAATCTGGTGTACCTCTCGGAAGCCATCAACGTGATCCTGGTTGACCAAGCCTGCCAGACACACGCCCAGAAGAGAAGGGGCGTCAACGTGGCAGTGGCGCGGTACATCTACCACAAGTTCGGGGCACCCCACTTGGAGAGGATAGTCTCCAACCTTCGGGGCGACGTCCTCGTGTTCAAGGCAAGCCAGTGGGATTCTGAGGAGGCCTGCAGGGCAGCTCCGCCTCTTGTCTGGATCAAGACATTAATTATGATACACGATCGGAGCCCAAAAGTCACACTCCTGACTCAGCAAGCCGCGAGTCGCTTTCATGCGTGTTTTCTTTATCCTTTTCGGGAAGAAGTGCCGATTCAGGTGCTCCAAGATTTCAGACAGATGCCTTGTTCATTGCTGCGTTGTTGCGATGCTGTATACCCGGGCGCCGGCGATCGCTTAGCGTTGAGCTTTGTCCCAGGTATCTCTTGGCGGACGAACCTGACTTATGGCCATGGGTCGAGGCCTAGACTGCCAGACAGCCAGATTGAATCTCCATTCAACAGTGACTCACAATGCATTTTTTCAAGCAAACACAAGAGCTGCTTGAACGCACTAAACACAGGGTACCCCAAGGCAGATCTTCAAGCGCAACATGTTCACTGACCTTTAGCGTCGCAAGAGTGGCAGCCTGCATGTTTGCAGATGCAATGGCGCTTGCCCTCCAAAAGCACTTGGGAGTGGACGTTACTGCACTGGCAAAGGCCAGATTGCAGTAGATAGACGGTTCCGTCTTGCGTTGGGGCAAATCATCTTCCCTTTCCTGCACTCGCTCAACGATTCTACGCTAGGCAAAGCGTAGCAATTGTCTTGGAAAAGGTGATGGCGGCGCACTGCCTTTTGCGCGGAGCAAGAACATCTTCAGCAGACCGCAAGGGTGCATAGGGTCCCGCGCTACGAGTGCATAGGGCGTTGCAATGCCGCTGTGCTGATGTGCCCTAGTTGTTGTTGTTTTCCCGTTGCCAGTGACCATGCCTTGACTGCGATGTTTAACAAACGGCTGGGCTGCATTTGACCCAAAGCATGTGGGACAAACAGAATGCGCCCTACAACACGGATGGGCACAGGCAACATGCAACAAACGCCAGCAATGATGATGCTGACCACCCGTGCGGCAAAGCATGTTGTGGACACGCATTCACGCGTCACTACCCTCAATGCCGCATTAAAGTATTCAGCGTGTTTTTATTTTCACCCCAAGTCCCATGCCTTGGCAATGAAGGAACTGCGCAGATGTTTCCCATGTCTGACATGGCTTCGCTTTACAGGCCGATTGGAGCTTCGTCGCTAAGCATCGCGCAGTGTCGCATGCAACTTCATAAGGCTTTGTGCTTGTGGTGACTGCAGGTTGCATGCAGCCGGCTAAGTGGGCCGCTGAGGCGCACAGCGCCCGTTCCTATGAGTCCTCGTGTGTCGAGAAAGGAACTGACAAATGCAACAGTCCAAGTGGCCAAGTGGCGGCTGTAGCTGCAGCTTACTGCTGCGGAAAAGGGCACTGTCAAAGCCAGCGGTTCAACAGGTCTACGCCTGCTCTGTGGTTGCCATGGCACCACGCAGGCAAGACAGCCTCACTCCGGCGCGACAGCCCTCAGCTCTCCTACGTGCTCAGCCTCAGCTGCAGCCTGAGGGCAAGGTCTCAACGGGACCTATGCGGAGACATGGGACAGTCTAGTGACGTTTTAGCTGATGTTTTTCCCTTGAAAGGAGTGGCCAGCTCTTTTACAAACCATGCTGAGAGCGACAGTCCCGAAATAGAGGCATTTACCAGAGGAGAGAACCGGCAATGTGCACCATGGCCCGAGAGTTACCACAGCAACACATCAAAGGCCACACTTCAACAAAGAACATGGTGGATGAGCGTGCCACGCGCGTTTCAATACGATCGATCACGCTGGGTGCGCAAGGGGTGCAGGCATAGACTCAACACAATCAGTGTTCAACTGTCAGCGCGCAATTGATTTGGTTGCCCCGGGCTCTGTAATTTACCAATGGCAGGGTTTGCCGCAGCTGCTTAGACCATCGAACTAGGCCGAAGAACAGCGGAGATCAGTGACAAGAAACTCGGTGGCCCGAGCGCCATGCCGCCCTTCATTTTAAACACCCTGGCCTTTCGCAAAAGAGAAAGGATAGCGGTGGAAATCCCTCCGAGCTGCCCGTTCAGTTCTGACATTGTGGTGCGGGGCACTCTAGAGAAGGGAGTGCCCTTCCCATTCCGCTGGAAGTTGAAGGGGCAGATTCTTGCTACATGGAAGTATTTGTATTGTCCAACAGAGAAGGAGCTTGAGAATCTGGACAAGTCCCTGCATTTGCATGACGAAGAGGCCTGCGTTCCGAAAGCTTTCAATGTCATGCAATTCGGTATTTGCGTTGTAGATCCACGGGGAATCTAAGTGGCTGTTACGGACTTCCAAGTCACCTGCAGGGCCCGCTTCTTCCAAGCGACGTTGTGGAGATTGGTGTGTCTCATGCTCGAGCTCGCGTCTTGGACATGGGCAAGCTCGTCAAGGTTGTCATGGACGATGGACAAATTATTGAGGTTAAGCGCGAGCTCGTGAAGAAGGCAGGGGTGGGGGTCGGTGCCAGAAGGTCTCTGCTGACCTTGGGAGCTTTGGTTTAGCTGAGCAACTGGCCGAAAGGTCGGTGACGGATCCTCAGGTGGTTGGCTATTGGGGATGCGCAAATGAGCAAAGGATGGTTGATTTTCCACATCTAGAAGCAAATGAGCAAATGGCTGGTTTCCAAGTACCAGGCAGTTCACTAGGTCGCTGCTTTGCAGGTATGTTCTAGGGGGTATTTTTGACGACGAGGGGTACTCTTGTCAGCGCGTTTTCAACGGACTTCAAATACCAGGAACTTGACATTGTGATCAAATCTCCATTTTCCCTTTCAAAGCAAAGGGGATGAGAAGAAGCTGACCGTGAATTGCGCGCGCTTTGGTAAGCGAGTTTTGCCCCTCGCTCAAGTCGCGCTGCATCTGTTTGGTTGGCGTCCTATTTGTACCCAGTGAAGCCTTGGGTTGTGAGGGGCATGATGAACCTAACCAACAGATTGTAATCCATTCCTGCGCGTAACTGGGGCCGAAAGGATGACAGGCGCTGGTTGGAAAGAGGTAGATACCCTACCTCTTTGTTGTTTCTCTGCCGTGGCGCGCGGCTGCATCGAGCGCGTTGACCGTTGCTCCTGCAATACTCACTGTGCAGGGTAACTGATTCTGTTGCGGCTCAGCCCGGATGTCAGAAGCAGTAACGCAAGCTTTTGCATCTCCTGAAATTCAAGTCCAGCTCTGCCCCAGCTAAGAACTGACGGGGCTCTGTGACACGTGACAAGTTTCAACATGCCAAACCAGCCGTTATATGTTAGCAACGGCCGTGACAGCAAAGTCATGGACCGAGTGTCATTTGGATTCAGGATCAATGTGAGGGTTGCAGACACAGGGGCGGAATTTCTAGACTAATCGATCTGATGGACAAAGGCCTTCTTCCCAAGCGCAAAAGGGCCAATCAGCAATGCCTGACCAGCTTCACAGAGCAAGTTGTCAGCACTCAGAAGCCTTCTGCGCATTCCAAGGTGTCCTTTTCGAAGATGAACTGCTTGTCGAGCCCAGCAGATTAGGCGCTTCATGAAACTTTCACTGTGGGTGTCGCAACACGTGCTCATCGAAGAAGCATTCTTCTGTATTCAACTTTGTGAATAGTTTGTAAGTGATAGGTGCAAAATTGAACCTTTACACACTGCCATTGGCTCAAGCCTTGTATAGCACCTGCCCTCACGGTCATTTGCTATTACTGAAGCAGCCGCGGAGCAACTGCCGAGGCAACAGAATAAAAGAACTAACTTCGAGCCTGCCAGGGATTTACGGTATTATTGATACTTGGTACATTGTACGTTCTTGGAGGAACGATGCATCCTGCATCGTCGGGTACAATCAAAGAATCCCCTCGATTCTCAGGTTATCAGCCGTAGGGCTTGTCCCACGTGCTGTGAGACAAGGGTGATTCGAAACGGGAGGTTGCATACCACCGTTTCATAAGAATCAATCCCAAAATTGCCAAGTGGCGCATTGCTTACGTAACAATGTCCGATGGAAGATCTTCGGTTACATTCGCGGCACCTGCTGCCGGAATTTCATTGTCATCTCAAGGAACACCGGAATCAGCCGGTCATGGGAGCGGAGATACCATTGTGCTGAGCGTAAAACGGAAGCGCAACAAAGTGAAGCTAGCATGATGAGAATCGCGCATTGAGGGCTGAATGCATTTCGATGAAGTCCTCGATTCAGGCCCTTGAATCCGATGAGGCTGGTAGCTTGCAAAGGATATTAGGACTGGAAAGAATGAATCACACCCTGGAGTCTCAGGTTTCGCTTGTTCATGGGAGGATGAAAGACGAATATGACTTAGCAGTGGAACAATTGAAGATTAAATTAGAGGGAACAGGATCAATGAGCTTGAGGCAATGGCCTTCGACATCAACAATGAATCTCAACAGCTTAGAACGGAGAACAGTGAGATCTCGGCATCATTGCGGCAGGCGATGGACGCTGCTAATGAAGACAAGTCTCAGGTCAATGTAGGCAATGGAGTACGGGCCAGATTGAATCATGAGAATGAGCAACTTCGGGAAGGACTGAAGTATGAAGAGTCAACGATGCAGACTAAGCTGAGGGGCGCGGAGATGTACCACAACAGCGTGATCTCTAACAAGGATGGACAGATCCAAACGTTGAGAGCACAAGTGCAACATTTGTCCGACGCAGAATCCAAGGAAGAATTAGTTAATGTTGGAACATGTGGAAACATGAACTGTGTGTGGAATGCTTGACCAATGGCATGTGCCATTTTGGCTCAAGCATTGCCTTGGGGCTCTCTGAGCCCTACTTGATCTGAAAAAAAACTGACCTTTGCCTCTTTGATTCTACTCCCAACCGAGCTATGGCTTCCTCGGCAACCTCAGTGTCTTCATTTGAGTTGGTGGAGGACCAGACACTCACAGCGGAGGATGTCGCGATGGCGAGCCAGGAGGCGCAGGATATGCGCACACGTTTTGGACGAGCCCTCAGCCCCCCCTTCGGGGGCGCGCTTAGGCGGTGCCGGTACCTCCAACTCGGCGAGCAACGCCTCCTGCTGTCATGGGCGACGGGCTAAGCAGCTGGATGAAGGGGATGTACTTAGCCGGGGAGGTCCTCCGGGTTCTCCAGCTCCAGCCCTCTCCAGAGCCCTCCTGAGCTCATCCGGCCAGACTTCCGGAGGGCGCACGCTCCGTTTGCCACCTCGTCCGCAGGGCCTGCATACCCTCCTGGATGGGACAAGCCTGGTCTCAGGGGCCGGACCCGACCCGTCTGAGAGGCCGCCACGAAACCCTTCAGCTTCTTCATGGGTGGGCCGCGCAACTCCTTGGGTGGGGTGGCCATTTCCGTGGCTTCCTTGTCGCCCATGTCCTTGTCCCCCCCATCGGCGCGGCCAGAGGCACC